ATAAAGCAGAACATAATGTCATGGAAAACAAAGGTGTGAATTACAGACTAAAGAGACAGATACTCTTGTTTGGATACTACTGTGTTTTAAAAACAGTTTATAACAATACTAAGAGTCTACAGCCTCGCTGGCTGCTTTGTACTTTGGACACAATGTTGCTTTAAACTAAATGCTTACATCAGCAAGTCGACATGCTCACAATGTAAAGTGTTAACACGCCGATTTCAAACAGAAAAGGATTACCAAAGAATACGTCACATGGGAACCACGAATGTCTGAACCAAAATGTTGTGCCGATCCATCCCGTAGATGCCGAGATATTTGACTGTAGAAGTGCAGTCTTTGATCTGCTGTTGGTGTAAAGGACTCTTAAGAGGTTCTGTGAATGTTTCCTACAAACCTTTTAATTAGAAGTTACTTAAGTTAATCACTTCCTGCTAGCCTTTATTTTGTAAGTCCCGTTTTACGTTTTGGGTCCTTTATTTTGAAATCGTTTTTGGCGAAACCAGAAGCCGATCCAAATCTCGTCAGAGTATGTTAGCTTGACTTCGCCACAAGAAAAGTATGAAATTCACGGTATGGACTAAAAGGAAAGGTAGTATAAAATATATTACTCCGCAATAAGAGTTTAATAACTAACGGTTAAGCACCTAGCTGGAACGGGAACAAGGTATTGTGTGTTCATTGTGTTTGGTGTTTCAACTGGATGCTAATGTTAGCTTACCAGATATAGCTAAATGACTAGGCTGTGGTTTTGAGCTGGCATTGGCATCTGGTTGTAACATTAATATATGCTCCCATGTATATTTAAATGTTATTTTCTGAATGTTTAAACTCATAAGAGCTCATTTATGTTTTATCTGTTCCGTAGCTCTTACAGTGTTTTCTGGAGAAAGGAGAAAAGTAAATTCGTGTTCAAAGTAAAAGTCAAAGGTTGAACATGAATAAAGGCCTCTGAAACATCAGTACGCTTCACCATTGTCCGGCTGGGGTCCGCTACAGTTGGTGTTATTAGAAAAGTAAGGGGGATCCCCAAAAACGTCAGGATCTGTCCTCCACCATGAGTATCCGATATCTGATCACCAAAGTCATTGAGATTCATCCACTTGGGACCACGACTGTTTTCGGTAATCAACCCCAAAAGGCAGTTTGGACCTAAATGGTGGACCACCCAACATCCCCAGAGCCACGTTGCTCCCGTGGTTAAAAATCATACCAACTAAGAAATATATTTTTGCACAACAGCAACATGGTGTGAAGGAAATGATCAATAATAGCAGGACGATGCCAATGAATTCATGAAAACAAAAACACACAAAGAAAGGACACGCCTTCTCATTAATAGAAGCACAAATCCTCTTGCTCTTCCTCGGTCACGGGGTCAGAGAAAGGGGGTCCATTGTCATACATGTATGTACTGTCAGTTTAATGGCTACCCATTCCCCAGATTGCAGATGATTACAAATGACAATAGGGTGAGCTTTAGCGCGCTAGCAACATGATGCTCTTCATGAGTAACGCTCTGTGTCTCCTGACCGCCCATCTGTGCGTTCACTTATTAATTCCTTCTCAGAGAGATTAGGATTTCCTCGGGGCAGTCAACATTACTTGAGCCAAAAACACCAATTTTGATCTCTATTCCCTGCTGCACAATAGCTTCACGAAGGACTGGAGACACTCAAAGGGCAACTCACGAAAGAAAACAACGAAACAGAAAACTATTTGTCATCAACGCAGACAGAGAGAGACACATTTATTAAATATAAAAAGTTGTGTGATTTTGTTTGGGATGTTCAGACAGAAATGAAAAGTGGAGCTGAGGGAACATGATGAAGTCATATGTCTCTGCACACTAAATATCAACGTATAGAATGTATAAACTTTACTAACCATACCGTAATTAAGTGTTTTTAATTTAATCTATTTAGAGTTTAATTTCCATTTAGCATGGATGAGAAAAACCATGCAATGAACTGTAAAACCCTTTTCTCACAGCGTGCACATTAGGAAAAAAGACAGATATTTCACCTGATCTTCAAATTATGTTCAATTATTTAACTACAGACGACATTATTAAAGTATTAATCTTTAATTGTTTAATTAGCATAGACGAATGCATGTAGAATTATTATACTCCATGAGCAATGAGTAATAAGCCCGTTCACATTACACAAAGTTAAACCACAAAAGTAAAAAAAGCTAATTATTTATTTTCCTCTTTCCACCAAAACAAAAGCTGAACAAGAAACTGCGTAGGTGCCGCATGACATCTAATCATTTACAGTGTGTGAGGACGCTTTAGGCCCATTGAGCTCGTGAGAGAGAACGAGAGACGAGCAGAGGAATCAGTCTCAGCTCATAACCGTGCGATCACATATAGAGAAGAAAGAGGATGGGGCTTATTATCTCATCTGTTAAGCTGTGATTTAAATGACATATTTGTGTGTTAAGTGTTTGACTGAAGAAGCCAACAAATAGGAGGGGAGAAATTCAATTGCAAAGAATCGACGAAAAGCAAAGCTTGTTTATCTGCCCATATACCTGAGTCACAACTGGTAGAAGATGCGTGTCCACATTCAGAGGCGGCCTCCTTCAAATCTGTATTTTTATGACCAAAGACATCATGACGAGTAGACACGGCTGCCATTCAACAAGACTACAAGCAACCGAGAAATCCTGCGTCCTCGTGATCAACTATGACCACACCGCCACCCTAGCTTTCCAAAATACATCACATGCAGGTCACTTCAACGATGCAGTCAGGTGGACCTTGTGAACTTGGGAGAATTGGGAAATATAACGGCACATTTTTTTTTTTATCTACCTGGAATTTGTTTCGCTATTCACGAGCTACACCAATGAAAATGGCGTAAATAGGAAAGTCAAGCAAGAGCACCTGACCTGTTTGTTCTTTTTATCAGCCTGGATATGATGTTAATCATTAACATGTAGGTGGTTACAACCAAGTGCAGCAGCAACAGATTACAGATATATATATATTTTTTTTTTTAAAAAGGTTGATCACAAACTCTTAAAGCCTGAGGCAAAACTATATTTGTCCAAACAACGGTCCGAAAGCGCAGAATATTCACTTTACAAAAGCTGTTAAAAGAGAGAAAAGCAACTTACAATAAAAATGGGGAACCAGAGAATGTTTGTTTGAAACAACAATGAAAAGAGTTGCCTATAACCTTTTAGAATGAATATCTCAGCTGCTCTTAACTACTAGCATTGTCTTACTTTATACATGTACATCCAGCAACAAGTAACGATTCCTCTTTCTTTGTTTCCTTTCAACATCACACTGAAGGAATTTCCAATAAGATGAACCTTGCGGTGTAGCTGCAGCCTGACAGACGTACAGCAGCAAGTACGTGTGGAAGACAAGTGCTTTTGTGCTACTTAAAGAACGAAAGAAATGTGTCTCGGCAAACGCTGATCTGTTTTAAAATCTCTTTTCCTGTTTAATCTTATTTCAAGACGCAGGAAATGATTCACGCTCTCACCGGTATTTGACTTCCAGGATTCTCAATATTGACATGCGGTATCTGGTAAATGTTTCACAGCTCAACCCAAGTCAGGCTAGGAGAGTCATGTGCCGAGTCTTTGACCTCTTGAAAAACACGTTAAATAAGGTCGAAACTTTATTGTGAGGCCAAATAAATACAGCAGAACGGGTTAGGGCTGCAAGTGAAAATGATTCTCATTGTTGATTATTATTGTCTATTCTTTATCTTAGTAGTCCAGCTTTGCTGTCCTTGTTCCAGACTGTTATGACTATATGTGTGCACACTGAGAGCAATGCAAAAAATAACTAAAGCTTTCAGATAAAAAGGGCAATATGAAGATGTAGTGGAGTAAAAGTATATAATACAACAGTAACACTCCAAATAAGTACAAGTAAGGTGAGCTCTATCCGGTGAGCCACACTGGTAACACTTAGTGTGGCTTTGAAAAATGTTGAAAATGTGAAATTTGCAAATCATTTACAAAACCACATTTTTTTTGGTCGTTAAATTGTGAAGTTGTGATTCAAGATAGGAAGTTATTGTAATACAGGCACAGCAGTCTATCACTTCCCTTCCACATACCCGTCATTGCTGAACCTTGTGCATATCTCTGCGTAACCATGGCGCTCACAACAGAGGGTGTGTCTGCAGAATAGGTGTGCCATGAAGGTATACCTGCACCCAAGAACCGCCGCCTGCAACGTCCGGAATTCAGGACAACTATTCCCCTCGTCTTTTCGAGAACAATAAACATCATTTTATGGATAATTAATGAGCAGCTACTCCACATAAGCGAGGAAGACAATGCAACCCCATCGCCTATTGGGATTTACGCGAGAGATACACGGTGCAGTTACCATTACGAGCCACTGGAAACATTGACAAGCTCGGCATGTGGCACAGTCGCCAATCTATGGTGTTATGGCAAATGCGGTTCATTGTTACTGCGTTGTAAAACAATAAGCTCCGACAATTCGCCAGGCACTTTACTGATTAACCAAATAAGTGTGCTTTTAAAAACAAGTCAATAAAAGAACATGAATGTAGGAAATAAGTCAAAGAGATGTCTAGGAGAACAGATGTCTGCGATAGTAGCCTGCGCTTACAGGCCTTTTAAGAAGTGGCCTGTGTGAATATTGAATAAAGGTAAGTGGTGAATTTAAACTAACTGTGTTAGTTGTAAGAATAACACAAAAGAAGCCATTCAGAATGTGCTGTAGAGCCGCACACATGCGAGGCGGACCGCGGCTCCAGCACAACGTGTAGTTAAAGCTTCATCTGGGTGGACAAAGACCCAGCGTCACATCTACAAAGTGAGTAGAGTGGGGATGCCATTTGTTGTCCCAACTTTTACGAATGTTTAGTGATTTGAAGTTTTCCGTGAGAAAAATAAAAACAATAAGAGACGTTTTAACTGGCGCTCGAGTGAACAAACTAGCCCGTCCGACTGCACCAAGTTCCACAGTTCAGCTGCGGTTGCAGGAGGCTTACCTTAGTGCTCACTCCAGAGAGAATGGGCAACCGGGGACACACTCCGCCAAAAAGGGAGAAACAAACACGAAGTAAAGTGAGCGCGCGTTAGAAACGACACAGTGCAGGTTTAAATCCACAGATCCCGGGGTTCCACTATTTGTTTCTCTTTTAAAACATGGAGAGACTGTGTGCTGCTCGACCTATCCTCGTTTGTTTTTCTGTCGCAGGCTGACTGCCTCCACCTCAGTCACTTGTATCAAGCTCGCCCGGACGTACAATCCACTTCCGCTCGCTCATTTCTAAATAAAGCTGCATTTTGGGGGTTCGCAGAGCGTCGCTGTCAGTGATGGAAGTACTCAGATCCTTTACTTAAGTAGAAATGCTGTGGTCGAAAAATACTCCAGTCCAGGATTCAAATTGTTACTTGCGTAAAAGTACAGAAGTATTATCAGCAAAATGTAATTGTATCAAAAGTGAAAGTACTCATTAAGCAGAATGCCTCCTTTCCTGTTATATTGCTATATAATGAAATACTTTAGTTTTTTTTTATCACCAGCATATATATGAAAGAGCATATTAATGTCATATTTTATTGCCCAATAAAGCATAAATAAATGTAGTGTCAATTTTAGATTATTTGTATGCTACTCATATTGTATAAACTTATCCTATATTTTCTTTTATAAAAAGTAACAAGTCACTGTATGTGTCAAATAAATGCAGTGAAGTAAAAAGTGCAATATTTACCTAAAGTAGAAGTTTAAAGTAGTGGTGTTCCCATACTTTGGGAACAGCCTTCAATTCTATTAATGAAAAACATGGTGTCACATAACAAAAATACCTGATGTGTTACAAGTGAAGGACTTCTGTAAAGGGATCTTATCAGCAAAGATTACAGGTATCAATACAAATCCAGACCACAATTAAATAAAGTCTAGCAAAAATAAAAGTACTGTCAATAAAATTGAATGAAATAACCAAAATACAATAGAGCAGTGAACAGTAGCCTATTTAAAGAACATTCAATCTTGCACTAAATGTATGCTGCTTAATTAAGGTCTTTTCTTACTTATCCTCTGTTATTTAGTTTTTTATTGTTCGTCTGTTAACATACATTTCGTTCCATTCAAAACCGTTATTATAGAGGAAAATAAACTTTCTTTTTGAAAGTTGCTTTTTTCCGGTGTGATCGTGCTGCTTTTGGTTATCTTGATCGCCGGTTCTGTTGGTGACGTCACCAACGCCGGGACTGGTACAGGACAACGCCAGAGGAATAGGGACACACTGGGGGGCGATGGCGCCTCTTGCTGATGACAATGAGAAATGTGCTTTACATTATTTGTTGTATCAATTGTATAAAATGTATTAATTCAGAAACTAAATGGATCTCAGTGTGACTGGATCAAGAATGACCTTTACATTTCTGATACATGTGTTATTTCCAAACTTTTGGTTCATCTATATATGACCAATTAGCAATAACACAAAACAGTCTAGACTAGACCCTCAAGACCACATAATAAAAGGACGAGTCCACATTCATATAATATAATTAAAGAAGTGTCACAGCAGCAAACAAGAAGCGAAGTACAGATAAGGGAAGTCAAATTACAATACAATGAGCTCATATTCACCAGGATACAACATGAGCATGATAATAAAAAGGTTTTTTAGACCATCGGTAATATCTATGAAAGAGTAGCCTATGGTTAAGTAAATCAAGATAAAGAAATTGGACTTACAGTATGTGGGTAAAGGATGCAATATTCTGGACTGTTTAGTATTGTTTTCACTTGAAGGAGGAAAATGAGATATTATACAGTATCTTTAAATATTAGCTTACTGTTAAGCAGATGTGATGTTTAACAATGCTGAGGGTTTATCATCAAAAATCATTCCTGTTCTACTATTGGTCAGTGACAAGAAAGCTGAATACATTGTAGAATAGTGTGGTGTGATTGATGTGTCATGGAAAGATGATTGTGTTGGATGAGTAAACCTTAAGCTTGTATATATATAGTGACAGTGACAGCTTGGTAAAAATGAGTCAGTCCTATTTCAGTAATAAAAGAAGGTTTGACTTTTACTGATAGGATCAAACATCATCCTACAGATTAAATGTACTCAATCATAAGGTCGACTGACTTTTGACTCAGGAATTCCAAGGTATTATCCACATTTCATTTTTTCCAACTCATTTACTCATGCAGTTTTTTTTTCTCCTTTTTTGGCGTCATGAAAAATGTTATTATTGCTCGAACCCTTTATACATTTGAATACTAAATACCCAACAGCGAGAGAATGGGAGAAACAACTAAATTAGACAATGCAGCCGGTGTGAGCTTCTGACTGTCTTTTGTGTGTGTTCCTTTCATCATTTATTTTCTCAGTAAGCTTTTATTGTGATGTTTTATCAATCTAATCAAATACATTAATAAACAAGTCATTAAAGATTAAACACAAGTTTAATACAGGGAAAAGGCGCTTCCCAAAAAACATCTTTGGGTTATTATTGACTCATTTTCCATTGTTTATGACTTCAAAGTTAACATGAAATACAGACATCCAAACTGTAAACTGAAATCTTACATCATATCCTTGCCACTTGATAAGTTGTACAGTAGTTACAGTGTATATCAGCCTCTTCTCTACACACCTGTAAATTCAATCTAAATTGACATTTCTCCTAGCCGCCACAAACCTAATTTTACTTACACATTTTGCAATATTGATCTCTTAAACTCAGTTAGGTCAGGTACACTGATGCAACTTCATTCATTTGTTCCTTGATCCACAGTGCCTCCATGTGTTTAATCTCTATTCCTACACTGGAGAGGGGAGTTACGGTTTCTTTATACTCATCTGAGGTTCCAGGATGCAAACTGAAAATGGCAGACCTGAGGGCAAGACAATAGTTTTATCTGTGAGTAAGATGTGAGCAAAAATCAAAATCAAAAATGATAAATTTCTTGCACAGAGATTTGTCTCTCCCATCACAAGGGGGCAGAGCATCCCTGATGTTTCACCCAACCCCCCTCTCTCATTCAACATCGACAATGAATTTATCTCATTAGAAAGCAATTAGACGAGGAATTACAAGCACATGCTTGTTACATTTAAGTTAAGATGTTTTGTTTTTTAACGCAGCTGACTCAAGGATTATTGGAAAGAGCTGATGTGCATGTTTAACCTATTAGAAGTAAAGTCATTAGATGTCATCGTTGAATTTCAACAACCACATCAAATAAACGAGGGAACGGGATTCAAAGCTGACGTAAAAGTGCAAAATGATTGGAATGGTTTGTCTTAATACCCTTCCTCTCTGAAGCCCAAGGAGAGCTTGACTTATTAATCAAGGCTGAGTAACACTTGTCAACACTGTATCTGCCACTGCTATAGCCAGGATGTCTTCCATTTTAGATCCACGCCCCTCATATTCTCACCACCAGCCACACCAAGTCATCCCTCTGAGAGACCCCTGAGAGCTGAGCACAGCTATAGTTACAACGCTGATGAAACTGGATGTTTATTTTGGCGTCCGTCTTGAAGGCCACCTGATTGGAAGTGACGATGTACGTGATGAGCCGGTGGCTCCCGTGCTATGCATGCCATTCTGTGGGCCTCTGGGCCCAGTGAAATGGGAATCGCATAGAATGTGTATGATGAAATGTGGGGTTATATGCGCTTGTTTTTGTTGTGGCTGCATGCATGCCATCTCCAAACCACCTTACAGTGTGGAAAATGTATTTCAGAGGACACAAGACCGCACAAGACACGTCACTCAGATTTATGATTGAATTAACTGATTAAATCTTATAATTTGTTTTAACATACTCTCTGATCAGTTTTTGATACACCGAGCTAACGCCAATGCAGTCCAACAAAAAAACATGCAATAACATTTTTTTTTATATTAGAAACACCTCTCAGTTTTAACAAGGCGTATCTAAAACACTGGTAACAGAGTCTACAGTATATGTTAAAGTTACTATCTCAAAGATGTCCCTTTTGTTCTCTTTGGCTGCTCTTATGTCGATAAGCTCCAACTGCAGGTGTGTTTTTGGATCTCACTTTCCAAATGCAACGGCTTTCATCAGCGGCCAAATCACCAATGTGTTACCTCATTCAGCAATAGAACGTGGCGTAACAGACTTTATACAAATGAATATCTTCAAGTTTATTACTTTAATGAAAAGTTGGGATATGCTTATTTATCTTCTTGCCAAGAGTTAGATGAAGCTTAGTTTAACATATAGACAGTAAGCAGGAGAAACAGCCTGGCTTTGTCTGAACATAACAAAATACGCTTACAGCCTCCTCTAAAGCTCACTAACTAAGACCTTTACATTCTATTTGTTTAAACTATTGAAGAACCAAGAGCAAAGTTCTCTGAGGGACTCTGAGGTGGGCAACTCTTTATATGCAGGCCGAAGTAACACTGTTCCTAATTGGAGAGAGGATCTACGTAGAGCTGTTCAGTAAATCTTCAAACAAATCTGCATCACCAAATCCTTAAACTGAACTTGGTATAATTGTCATTGACCGAATCAGTAGTTTTTGTTAGTTCAGCTGTGATTAAAGATCTGTTACTTCCTGGTTAGAAGTGTGTACTGAACTGACAGTTTGAAACAGTAACAGGCTATTGAACTTAAAACATTCGAAAACAGCACTGTATGTCACAGACATACGATGCCCTCTATCTTTTCAGGTCTCCCAGCAAGCCATGACAGAGTCCTGAAATTAGTAAAGCTAAATGGAGGGCAGCCAAATTAATGTTATTAATTACTCCTCTGGTTTTCTTCGTACGTTATGTCACAATGTCTGCCATATATGAAGGTCTACCAGGACTGAGGCAGTCATTCATTTTATCATGAACATCTCTGCTTTTCCTACTGTGACATGTGGAGTTATGTTGAGTGGCATCATGATTGGAGATATCATCGCTTATTGATGCACGTACTGATGTTTGCGTAGAGTAAAGAAAATGTGAGAAGTGGCCACTACGAAGTACATATCTTTGAACTGAACTGAATGAAATGATGCTATTTCAATAGACTTTTTGGGACACACTTGGAAACAAAACCTAATCTTGAACCAAACCAATAGGCCTCTGCTGTCAGAGTAGCCAACAATAAAAGCCAGCAGAATTACAAAGTGGGGACCGTTGGGACCGTTGGGACCAGCTGCCACCCCCCCCCCCCCCCTCCAGCCCCCAGATCCTTTGGATCTGTATTCTGGAAAATTGGGCTTGGTTCTAGCTGCCAGAGTGCCACCATGACAGCTGCCCTTGCTTTGCAACAGACAGAATTAGTAAGATAAATGCAGCCAGAGACTGAGGGGCCCAGTTGCTGTCTAGATAAGTGAGGTCAGATGAGACTGCAGGACCCTCTTAGTGAATGGGAACACGAGAAAAACAACTAGGAGTGACTTATTAACTTATTAAGACTGGGACTTCTTACTGAAAAATGAGCTGGATATTATACTGAGGCATCATCAGAAGAGGAGAGGATGGTAATCAACCTTTAGTAAAGGAACAAATCGCTAAAAATGACCATGTACCAGTCCACAACATAGTTGTGTTTTAGCATAAAAAATGGCCCTGATCATTAAATCCCCTTACCTCACTGGTGAGTACAAAAGAGAGTTTTTTTTGAGGAAAGACAATAACATTACAGATTCAAATATTCATTCTAAGGATCCTTTCTGCTCTACTTTTTCAGGCTCTCCATATTAGTCTGTGTGCTTTCCAATGTCCCATGTAACAGAGATGATTCCAGAGGGAAGCAGATTGTAGAGATTCTGTATTTGTTGGTGTAAAATCGACTGTTTGTGTGGTTTTGTACATAAAAGGCAAAAGGAACAAAGACAAAAGATAAACATCTGAATAGCATCTAAATAAAGGGTCTGGTGACTGCTGAGGTTGAAACATACCCCTAATCTCTGCCGGGATTTAGTGGTCTGCGAACACAACACCAGGCTTAATGAGTGAAGATTTGCTGTGTCATATATAGACCCACGTCACTACTTTGGCATAGAGCAGACACAGAGTGAAAACGAGCAGAGGAGGCTTTTAATCATCTTCATAAATTTGAACGTCAGGGAACAAAGCAACCAAACTGACCAGATAAATGTGCACAGGAACAGATGTTTTAGTGTGAAAAAAGAAAGTATAACTGTAGTTTTAGCTACTAATTTGAACTTTAAAAGCATTTTTTACTGTTTGCAAGAGTTTTTTTTTCCTGGTTTTGTGTTTGGGATGTCCTATCTGTCCTAATGCATGCTGGGAATTATTAAGGAATTAAGGAATAAACAGGTATGCATGTAAGGCTGCGTTTCAAATCGTCCTGCTGCTGATATCATGAAAAGTAATCCCACACAGAGATGATGGGGCCTCAGGCCATACCATCCATCTGGGATAACTATATAAATAGCTCTGAATCATTTACAGTCCAAAGATATTCTTTGACTAACACCCTAAGCTTGATTTCTAGCCTTTGCTCTTGCTCCCGCACTCATACAGTGGAACCTACAATTACGTTTTCTGAGGGGATTTTTTTCTTTTTTATAATTCTGCATACTTTTCTCATAGCTACCACATGACCATACCACATAATGTAATTTGCATTGCTCAAGAATAAATTCTCTCAACAACTTCCAAAAATGTAAAACAGTTGAGGCTAGTGAGACTAATCATCGAAAAAAAGACAAATTGGGGCCTGACAGTTTAAACATACAGCAAATCACGTGTTTGGGATGGAAGGATTGTACATTAACAATTAACTGGCAATTAGATAAGAGGAGTCATCTCTATTCCCTCACTCAAATCATAGAAATTACACAAGGAACACAGACCAGTATTTTCTCAAAACATATTTAATTAATGCAGCTTGTTCGTGACACGAATGTCCTGCATGACAGCATAATTGGTACTCTAGCAATAACAAAAGATAGCATTAATCCAAAATGTACCCTAGTAAATAAATACATTGTGGTAAAGGGGGCCAGAACTAGTTCTTGGCTGGGACCAAAAACAGAACCCCTTAAAACAGAAAAATGGGATTTTTTGTTTTTGTTTTTGTATTTCCATACAGTATATACTGTAAGGGCGGTAACTATTCTCATCCTATTCTCTGCAAGAAAGCCAATAACAGTATTTACCAATATGTTAAATATTCCTTTTATGCAGGTAATCTATTAGTGAGTCTTCAACATTAAATCCAGTCTATGGTAGACACACTTGCTAAGTTTACCCTCATCCCACAGTGGGAGCCCAAAATGATTATGTTCCTCTTCATCAGCACTAATTGCCCGTTAGAGACCTTCATTACGACGCTGCACGTTCTTTAAAGTCAGCTGGTGGGATCCATTTCAACCAGTTTGTCAGGTAGTGAAGTGGAGTTTTTCCAGAGGATCATATTGGATCTTGGGTGACCCAGAGAAATTCCAGTTCAATTGGTTGCTGTGGCATTAATGATTAACGGTTCACTAGTGATGATGGGGTTGGCCTTGCTTGACCTTTCCGCATGGCTGTATTTGCAGCAGAAGTAAGCACCAGGCTTTAGCATCACGATAGCCTTGCAGTGCCTAAACAGCTGCACCTTTATCCCCTGGCCTTAGCAGCTGAGTTGGAGGCGTCAATCCAGAGCACATAGTGGGGGAGGGACAACTTTGTGCCAGCTAAAGACAAGCAAGAAGCAAAGGCTGAGGGCTGGGGGTCAATGATTGAGGGAATGCTAAATAACTATTTTTCAGTTGGGCAGAAAACATATTGGCCCTCGTGGTATCAATTAGATCTCATGCCTGAAATTAAGTGAACTGAAATGCATTTTTTTCCATGCCAGGGACTTAACTGTTATTGTAATGTGTCTAATGTATACATTGGTGCTATCAGATGAATTTATGGAGTGTATGAACATATGTGATTTATATTGGTGAGGAATATCTGTATAGTTTTTTTTTTCCCACTATAAGCACATTGGATGAATGAGTGAAAAAGTGTCATGTTTGTTGGGCAGAGTAATCAAATCTATTCCTAATCTTTTCCTCTTAACTAGCACAACATCCTCTTTTGTCTCTTGTCATCGGACTTCAATTCCGCCTGCTAGTCCAAATGTCAAAGGCCCCTTATTGTCCCAGCTGCCTGTTTCAAACCAGTTCAGAAAGTCAGACATTGCAAATGTCCCCACGGGAATAAATAAAGTATTTATTCATGACAGCATTGACAAGATATTATCTACATTTAAATATTGAAAAGTTTCTTTTAAACATATTTTAATTTCAGGTGGCATTTGGAACACTTGCATAGGAGTAATAAAAAATAACATTGTTTGATACAAAAACAACAATAACCCATTGTTTTAAACTGTACTCCTTGCCACAGTTACTTCAACAAGACTAAGAGTTTACACCCATGATAACACCTCTGTGAGGCTGCTGTGAGACAGATACTGATCTTTATCAGGTATAATACCATGTTCATCATCTTAGCTGTACTTATTAGCACTAAACACAAGGTACAGCTGAGGCTGATGGGAATACCATTAGTTTTGTAAGTATTTGGTCTTAAACCACAGTATGTGATAAATGAACGTTATGACTTGATTATGGCACTATGAAAAGTAAAGGGATAAAGTCTCACTATTTATCCCGAGGGGAAAAAACAAATTTCATGACAATCCATTCATCCACAAATGTGAACCAGTCAGGGGGATCACCAAGCAAGTAGACGCAACACGCACACAAACACACACACACACACACACTTTGTGAAGCCCCAAAAATAGAACACTTGAATCTAGTGACGCAGTTTCTCACTGGAGAGTGTCCAGGGACCACTGGGTCAGGAAGACCTGCTTAAGACAGGGGGGAGAGACAGGGGGAGAGAGAGAGAGAGAGAGAGAGAGAGAAAGGAGACAAAAAGAGTAAGCGAATGAGAGAGTTGGGATGGAGGGTGGTGTACCAGAAAATAGTTCTACAATTTTCTTACAAACCATGCGGGTGTCTGTCATTACCCGGCCTGGATACTGTACCCGACACGTTGGAGGTTTGGGATTGAATGCGTATTCCCTTGTGAGGGGAAATATAGGGAGGTAAAGACAGATGAGACATATGAGTAAGGACAAATCTCACAGGACAACAATCTTTGACGTTTGACCCTTGGCATCCTTTTCATCCTGTATCAACCGGCCATAGGAAGATTAAAGCATTATGTAACAGCGTGCATGTGTGTGTGTGTGTGTGTGTGTGTGTGTGTGTGTGTGTGTGTGTGTGTGTGTGTGTTTGTAATATTATGACATTGATCCCCACAGATATCTCTGACGTAAAGAAAACAGCAGTCGATAACTTGCTTTTCTGCAGGAAGTTGGATAGGGAGGGATGGTATGATAAGGCCGTTGTGAGGAGAAACACAAATATTAGACAGATGAAGTGAAATGTATGTGAGCGAGTGAGCAAGTGAATCACTGAGTGAGTACGTGAGAGAGTGAACAACTGAGTGACCTTAAAAGGCCACACGTCCTCGCTGGTGACTGAATGAGCGAGTGAAAGGGGGCCCTGGGGTTATCTCTGTGAAGCACCGCTCTATTTATAGATCATCTCGAAAAAGATTCCCTGCCCCTCTGCTACCCCCCCACCCAGTTGCCCCTCCTTTGTTTTCAATTAGCCCTTGATGGGTGGAGTAATGCAATCAGGAGTAACTACGGCTCACCCGGAGTCTCCTCTCTCAGTCTGCCCAGACTCCGCACAGGCAAACACTCCTCAAACAGGAAGGTAAGACCCAACTCTGTTCAACTGCTCCATCCATCCATCCACCCATCCATCTTTGGACCCATTCATCCTTTCATTGGTGTCCATTCACTGTGTCTTCCATTTTCCAGGTTGCTCTGGCATCCTCCTGTCTGCCTCCCCATCCACCTGCTCATGTTCTTCCTCTTTCTACCTGCACAGTACCTTCACTATTTAACCCCCTCTTCTCTCCACCCATCTGTCTGCCCTCATGTCTGTCTCAGAGACTTCATCTTTTATTAAATCATCTATCTCCAAAAAAAACCCTGTTGACCCCTGTTCATTTCCAACCGTCTTTCCTCTCTTCTCATCAATCTCACACTTCGCTTCAGCAAAACTGTGTCAGTGAAGGTGTCAGCTGCTGACTTGTTTTATTACACAGTAACTTCCATTTTGGCAAACCAGTTGGTTCTTTTGCTTTTATTGTGGCTTTACAGCATTTGTCGCACTTCATAGCATTTTGGTGTGATGCAATTCAGTATAAAATCTTTTAGTCACACTTTTTAAGTATACAAAGTACCTGTTAATACAACAACTAAGAGATGCGAAATGTTCCTGAAAAGATCTCCACACAGAAGAGGAATATAGTATCTTTACAGTAGCATGGCATTTTAGAGTCGGTGGAAGGATTCAGGTTGAACTGCACATTTTTATTTGTATTGCATTTACTTCAGGATTTAATAGGAACATTTTCAATTTAGAGCTTAATTCGATTATACATTTTATTCTTAAAAGCCTACTATTACTGACTGTTGTTAAATACGTATTCAATCATCGAGGAATTCCACCAGAATTGTTGCTTTGAAAGAGTAGAAAATCGATGTAAGCAGGCTGTTTAGAGGTCTCACTGTCAGAGATAGTACTGGTTTATGGATTGCACACTATACATGGTTGGATAACATTTTAAAGACAAAAATGTGCATCTTAAAACATTTGGTAATGTGAAGAGCTGTAGATATTAGGGTTACTTGAGCCATAAAAAGCACATTGATTTTTATTTTTCAGCTTGACAAAAAAATAAATTCCTTGCAATAATTTGAAAATGAGTGTGGATTTAAACAAAAGACATAATGCACTGAGAGTTGATTGAGGGAATAGGCCAGGCTGCACCGATGGGCAGCATCAAAGAGACCCCAGGAGCTGGGAAACAGCTGCATGACGTGTCTAATAAAGCTGGAGGTTTTATTTGTGGCAGTTGAGATTATCCTTTTTTTATTTTTAGGAGTCCAATAAATCCTTATATAAGCTAGGTGAGTCATGGTTGGAGCAATAGACAATGAGGGAATGTGGGAGGGTTGAGAATAACTCGAGCATAAAGGACGGGCATATTATAGGCCTCAACTTAAGCCAGATAAAAGACACTATACACAACAGATCACACACAGATCTAATGTTGGAGCACAGAGGTGGGAACACACAATGATCGCAAATAGATCAAGGGCAAGAAGCTCCGACTGTACGCGCACAATAAAAGAGCAAGATAAAGGGAATAACAACAGAGGAGCAAAGCTGAATCAAAAACAGGAATTCAAGCAATTAAGAAAACCAGAAAAGAATGAAAGAGTGGTCAGGAGGGATATGAATTTTGAGTTTTCCATGTTTTTTTTCTAGCCTCCTTATATGGTCAAAGCTTTGCCGAGCACATATAGTCACATCATTAGTAGAGTGTGTGTGTGTGGGTGAGTGTCAAACTAAAAGCATGGGGTGGCAATATATTCAAGCTCATTTCATATCTTCTCATATAACCTTTTCCCATACCTCGTGAAGATGTCCAGACTGCACACACACATTTAGATTTATTGCCTCTATACTATCCTTGGTCCAGAGAGAGTAAGAGTATTTAGGCACAGGTGGGATAACCAGAGGGCTTAACAGGCAGACCACAAACAGCTGCAGATTGTGAGTAGCCATTATTATGAGTGCCATTCAAACCCACTTATACAAAGACATACACTCACACACCAGCACGATGACAAGGGATACAGTGATCTGGTGCTGACAGCTGGCCGTGAGGTGATGGATCGGTCAAAGTACCGCGGCATAGTGAACGTTGGTATGCAATGTGGGGAAAGTTGAGTGTCTCTAAGCAGGGCTGATAGGAGTTATTTATATCCTTCTCATCTATCACCTTTGAGTTCTGATACCGAGAACAAAATGAAGGACTGCTGAGAGATGGGAGAGAGAGATGAAAGGGAACGAAATGCAACATGGAAAAAAAATCGGTCATGTGAAGGATCTTGATACCGAAGGTGTCCTAGAAAACATTTATTGCTTGGAATTAAGGATCTCTGAGAAATTGCTGTCTGCGTCAGTGTCACTACAAATATGTATTTGAACTGAGTAGCAAAAAGACAAAACTGTACAAAGCTTTTTGTTATTTAGATGATGGGGGTTGAAAAATTGTCCGGATGAAGCTGTTTCATTTGTGAAATCAACTCGATGCGGGAGTTTACCTCGGTTTACAACTGCTGTGAGCATTAAGTCACGTACTTTAGACAGAATACTTTCTCTCCTCTCACTTCCTGTGTCTCTTTTTGTTTCCCACTCTCTCAGGTAAGAGACTCTTTGTGACAATGACTGAGCGCTACGACTGCCACTACTGCAAAGAGTCCCTTTTTGGGAAGAAGTATGTTCTGAGAGAGGAGAATCCCTACTGTGTGAAATGTTACGAGAGCCTGTACTCCAACACCTGTGAGGAGTGCAAGAAGCCCATTGGCTGTAACACCAGGGTAAGAGATGTCACAAAATACATTGAGCATATGATCCCTAACACGCTCTTTCTTTGGATTTCTGTCTTGAACACTATTTATCATCAAAGTTGGTACAGCTCTAACCATCTATCTGATGTTCTTGTAGGATCTGTCTTACAAGGACCGTCACTGGCATGAGGAGTGTTTCATGTGTTTCCAGTGCAAGCGTTCGCTTGTGGACAAGCCCTTCTCCACCAAGGATGAAAAGCTCCTCTGCACTGAGTGCTACTCCAATGAGTATTCCTCCAAGTGCCATGACTGCAAGAAAACCATCATGCCAGGTATAGGAAGAAAACCACACAGAGAGCAAGATATTTAAGTTGAGTCTATACCAAAGCAACACAGCAAATTCCAATTTTTGATATGAAAAACTTTGCGAAAGTATGTAAGCGTCAGAATAGTGCCTCTGTGAATGGTTTACAAATGATTGTCTTAAATCTAAATGCTGCCAAATGTGTCATTATAAGTACAATACATCAGTGCAATTATGTGAGGGAAAGTGTGCACTGCAGTTAGTCAGTAATAATAACTTTATTTTTATAGCACCTTTCCAAAACAAAGTGCTTCACAATAAACATGAAAGCAAATAAGAAACACAATCAAACAGGTGAAATAAGATAAAAATAAATAAATAAAATACAATCTGTCAGATGTAAAAAATAAGTGAGTCTTCAGAAGAGATTTAAAAGAGGATACTGAATTTGCCTGCCTTAGATTACCAGGAAGGGAGTTCATCTTCAGTGACCAGTCGTGAATTTGGAACTGTTAGTAAGACGACTGGGTTTCTAGTATGCTTATGAATTATCAGTTAATGTGTTGAAAAGACAACATCTGTGCATAGGGAAGCAAATATAGTCACAGCAAGTTTTTACGGAGGATGCAGCATAAATAGAAACTGTAACTGTAATGTGTTTTACATCATGTATCTAACAATGTAATTACGTATTCAGGAACTGGGGCAATTCTAACGCTTTAACTAAGAAATATAAAATCACTCCTGATTATTAAACCATAAAAATGTGTATGGTACCACATGTACGGTTTATCATATTATTATCACTTTATTATCATATTATGGTGACCTCTTAACTGTCATCTCGATTGATACTAATAAAAAAGGACCAATATGAACACTCTGGACATTTTTAATATCAAGTTGATAGTTAAACTCAAGTTTTTTTTCCATAAATTGAATTGGTTGTTCTCACAAACAACACCAAAATAAAACATGTAAATGTATATTGTTTCTTGACTCCAAAACGCACATTTTGTTTTTTCTAATTCTTATTGCTGTCTTTGCCTTCCTTCACTAACTCCATCCATCCCTTTATGTTGTGTGTCTCTGAAGGCTCCAGGAAGATGGAGCACAAGGGGAACAGCTGGCACGAGACCTGTTTCACCTGCCAGCGATGCCAGCAGCCCATTGGCATCAAGAGCTTTATCCCGAAGGACAGCCATAACTTCTGTGTGCCCTGCTATGAGAAGCAGTTTGCCATGCAGTGTGTGCACTGCAAGAAGGTATAGGAGACCAACCTGGAACTGATTTTCAAAGTAGTACTCAATCATTCTCCATCTTTACGAAAAGAACAATGATTACACCTGAAGTGTGACCATATGACATTCCTGTTTCCTCTTATTAGCCCATCACCACTGGCGGGGTGACCTACCATGACCAGCCCTGGCACAAGGACTGCTTCCTGTGCACTAGCTGCAAGCAGCAGCTGTCTGGCCAGAGGTTTACCTCTAGAGATGACTTTGCCTATTGTCTCAACTGTTTCTGCAACCTTTATGCCAAGAAGTGTGCCTCCTGCACCACCCCCATCAGCGGTAATCACAATGAATCAATGTTTTTGTCATGAAACTTGTTGAAAGTGTGAAAGGTGTGGCATGGGCAAAGGAAGAACCCACACAAATTATTTTTGTGTGATATGCCATTTAGGTCCACGCTTTATAAGATTTCCCCAGTTGTTTTAACTTGGACTTGTTCTTCACTTTCAGGCCTTGGAGGTAGTAAGTACATTTCCTTTGAGGAGCGCCAGTGGCACAATGACTGCTTCAACTGTAAGAAGTGCTCCGTGTCCCTGGTTGGCCGTGGCTTCCTCACTGAACGTGATGACATCCTGTGCCCAGAGTGCGGCAAGGACATCTAATTCAGTCTGAAGGACGGCTAATACATCGGATTGGATGATCATGTTACAATAGAGCAATGTCAAAGATACAATAAATACTATCAGAGCACAGAGCATAGCATCCATAGCATCTTTACAACCTTACTATGAATGTATATTGTTGTATGTCATGAAATAAAAACTACTAACAGTATTATTTGAATTTAGAGATATTATTTAAATAAATTGTTCTTTGAGAAAAAGTTGTCACTAATAAAATAACATGAACGTAAAGATCTTTCCTTATGCAACAGCATCATGGTTGCAGATAGACACTGTATGAAGCATTTTGAAATAAATCTACAATGTTAATGTTGATTATCCACTTTGAATTGCTATAATTGCTGCTTTGTGCATGGACTAGCTTGATGCTATAATTAGTAGAGGTTTTAAGAATGAGCTCTGGTATTACCAATTAAAAATATTAAAATTGTGTCTTTACTCTTATAATTCCAACTGAAGCTGTATGATATCACATGCATTTCAGAATTGTTCATATGAAAAACAAAAGGGTGAAAATATTTCTACTGTCTGACCTTTGAACAGAAGAATTTACACAAATTTTATACAAAAGGTACTGCAGGTTGGTGGGTCGGGGATCTCTTAAAGATAGGGAAGAAAAACGGCAGCATTGAAAAATATGACAAATAGACGATTCGTTTTTCCATTGAATCTTTGAAGTAGTGCAGAAAATAAGCTTAAGGTAAGGCTATGGTGCCAACCAGTTTTGTTGAGCAAGATAATCTCCACAAATGAACACCACTTTCATTCATTTTGAAGCGTGAATGCAATCAGCAGAAGTGAAAAGCAAATAAACGCTATAAACAAACTACATCAAGGTTGCATGAGTCAGCTGTAGCTGATAACCAAAGACACCGTCCAAAAACAATAAAAGTGGGGAAATAGTTTTTGTTCCATAGACATACAGTCTATGGTTTTCCCTATGGTTGTAAAGAGAACGGTCTTCCCCCACTGTGTGTCTGGCCGCAGAATAGCAGCTGGGGTTCAGCGATGCACTCAGCGTTATGACTTGCGGCCTTTACCGGTAAAGAGTAGTGTGTGAGGAATCAACAGGCAGTATATAGAACAGTCAATAAAAGGTGTTTTGAAAAAGTGTGAGTCAACGCAACCACAATAGCTCCTTGAGCATGCAGCCATAAATGAGCACCCAACATGTAATGCAGTAGAATGCAATATTAGCTTTGGACAGACATAGCGGTGCACACTCGCTCACTCACTCACTCACCCACTGACTAACGCAAGCCATTGCATGATTCTCCCAGGGGAAATGACAAATTACCAGACGATTTCTTTACGAGAGAGTCCCATTTCTTTGCAAACTTATGAGCCTGTAAAGCCTTTGAGATGACACACCGCGATTTGAGGCTGTAGCTAGATACAATATCAGCGTTTCAATGATGGAGAGCAAACGCCTTCTGCTTACCATTGAGCTTCCATGAGCTTCTTGCAGCCATGGGTCTTTGGCTACAGTTTGCAGATGGCTGAACCACTTACATTTCTCTCCGTCTTTGCAATTCTTCGCCGATATTGTAAGGCTCTTTTTTTAAGTCCGTCTTCCTTTTTTTTGGTTGCTTTGCAGCATATAGGCAGTTGTTCTTGTGCTTTCAGTACATGAATGGACGTGTGTGTGCATCATCTGTTAATATGAGGCCAAAGTCTGCCTATTTTCTAAAGGCTGTAAACAAGTCATAAACAGGTGCAGAAGTCTAGTTTTCTCTCAGAGCACTCGAATAACAATATGCTCGGTTATTGTGGATTTGTGTCCCCCAAATTATGCAAAAAAAGAAAAAAAAGATGGTTATCCGAGCTTTAAGTAGAATTTAGATTTCCTTTATTACTTTTTACAGCGTTAGTTTAAGGTACTTTTCAATTCCGGCATATCAGACATGGACCACAAAGCGGTTTGCTTTTCTGTAATTAAATCAACAGAAGCGATTAATTGTATTGAGACAATTTATTTTAAAAAGCATCGATACAAACATGACACTGGATTTCACAATGGATTTAAAATGCTTTGTAAATCTTTTTGATGAACTCTGTCTACATCCGTTTCAAAGAAAGTAACTGAGTCAATCTATACACAATTCAGAATACATACTTCCAAAATAACAATATTCCTGGTTTAGTCTATTTTAAGATGATATTCAAGTACATGAATAAAGGTTACTTGCTTCCTCTGTGTCAAAATGGCTGTTTAACCATGGACTATGATCCAGCCTGAAAAAAAAAAATGCACAATAACAAGATACTCATATTTAAAAACCCTGAACAACTGAGGCCAAACATCAGTGGAATGGAGTTCATTGAGAAGAAAAGAAAAGACACCTACTATCGCTTCAAACACACTATTGTTTTGCACTGCCTTAAAAAGTGTTAACAATGAATCTTAGATATGTCCATCAGTCACAATCTCAAACTATGAGAGCCTAAATCATTTGTTTCAAAGATAATCTGTCCATTCAAGTCATGGTACTACCACTTACAACATTTTAAACAAAACCTAGACAGGAAAAGCACCCTGTCACCTTCGCAACTCAGTACTGGAGGCCCTCTGAACAAAACCAACTTGTGCACAGAAACAGAACATCAACAACCATCATTTCCATAAATGGCATTTCAGAAAACAAAAGTCGTGTTACTTGTTTTGTCCTCGAGAAGCTCTCCGTGTAGGACACGAGGAGAGTCGCTGATCATCTATGGTAAGGGCACTTGAGGTTGTGGAAAGCTACAAGGAAGCTTGTGACTTTAAAAGCAGGATCCTCGGAGAACCATCCCGTCAGCTCATGGCAGACAGAGAGCTGTGAGGTGGCGTAGACACACAGGTTTAAGGGGTTTCATCCCTTCTGTGGTACATTTAGTTGGATAACTTGGATGGGGAGAGCACAGATACTGGGAAACAACATTCGGTGGGAGGGGAGCGGTCTGTCCTTCAGAGCCCGAGCTGCAATCAGGTCCGTGTGTATAGAGGTTAGAGGTCAGGGCCACGTCACATGGTGGATCTTTTTCTTCAAATCTGGAGACTTCATTGCACCCTGAAGAGATGGAAGATGAAACATTAACAAATATTACAAAAAGTGGTCTAATGTAATGTGTTACTGATCAATTAGCATGCCAATATCAACGGTTTATTACATTTATGGATTCATGATAATTTCCTATCGTGAGTTTTCTGTTTTGCACATAAAGTATTTGAGTTGCAAAGTTTTTTTGCCATTTTAGAGGCATGTTTTCATCTTTATTTACAGTATTTGTAATTATATTTTCCATATTTTGTATTTCAAAGAATCAACTGTATTGTGAAAGTATTACTGTTAGTAACAATTTTGATAACTATGCACATTTTCCTTGAGTCACACAGTAAACTTGCATGTAACAGAACAAAAAGTTCCTACCGAGCCGTTTGCTTCCCGTTTGAGGTCTGCTGTGTCGGTGCTGCAATGAATGGATGAGGAAGAGGAAGAGGAAGACGTGTCTCCAGACAGCTTAGGGGCGGGGCTGCACCAGTTTGCAGCAGGAGGAGGTTTTAACCTGTCAGTGATTCCCGTTGACAAGGCGGTTCCTTCTGGTTTCTTTACTTTTAATGGGCCGGAGTGAGAGGAACTGCCGTCAAACACAATCAGAGGCCTTTTCCTATTATGGTCGTTACTGGAACAGAAAATGACCAAACAACAATTACAACAACAACCAATCGTTTGAACTAAAATGGATTAAACTCATGTTGATGGTAAGGGCTCTAGTTTTGAGCAGGTGCACAGGGAGAAGCACTGCTCTGTGCTGGCATATTTGCTGAGGCACACCTGTACCAGTTTGGTATCTTGGTGACTCTCCGTGCCTCACAGATGGAGGAGGGAGACAGCAGACGGTGTGCCATTGCCGATCCAGCAGCACACTGCAAACTGTGTGCCAACGACCGTATTTTGTGCTGCATATCACCCAACTGCTCGGAGCAGATTGCTGCACAGGTCACACAGCGCACCTGCGTTATTAACTATTTGTGGCACTTGAATTGGTGGAGACACGTGCACATGAACTTCTCTAAAACACCTTTGGTCATGTTTTGAGTTTCTGTCTCAAAAACTGCACTGTATGCTGATTTTAAATTTGTGAAGAAGAAGAGAGCACTGGTTTAAGATTGGTACTCGGTATTTGAGAGCACCCTGAGTTGAGGTATTTTAATCTGTAACGGTTTGAATGAAAGTGTATCTTTAGTCTGGACAGGTAGACGTGTGACTGTGATGACCAACATTATGTGATGGAGAGAATTCAATATTTCATCAGACTGGTCTCACCTGCTGTATGTTAAACTAGGGGTGCAGTTTGTACATTTTATAGTGCCAGGCAGGCAGCAGATTTGTGAGAACGGTGTCTTTGAAGATAACCAGCAGCTCAATAACAGTCTTAAAAAGTTGTTTTAATTTTCCCCATCGGTTATGGGATGCTGAGTAACTATATAACAGAGTAACGTACGTGCTTCAATGTTTAACTTTAACGTTGCAGCTGGTTAAGGTGGAGCTCATTTTAATTACTTTTTTCCATTTCATCTGAACCTGCAGTAGCTAACTGAAGTTATCAAATACATGTTGTGGATTACAAGCTACAATGTCTCCCTTTAAGATGTAGTGGGTCAGATGTATTAATGGTAATACTATAATAAAGAAGTATCCCAAGAGTAACGGTATGGTACTTATGTAAATGTAACGTTTCTTAGTTACTTTCCGTCCCTAATAAGCTGCCCATGAAAACACAGTAAGGTGCATCTTGAAAGCCTCCAGTGTAGCAAGCGTTACCTGTCTGAACTGTGACCGGCCGCTGTGTGCCTCCCTCGGATCTTCTCCATCCTCTTTCCCCAGCGACTGTCGGGTAAAGTCCTCTGCGGCAGCGGGATGACATGCCGAAGGTAAAGCTCTGTGAGCCGGTCCCGGCTTTCACATTCTCTGGTACTGACATGTTTCTGATTCAGACAGAAAGAAATGTTAGCTCACCTTTTTTTCCCGATATTACAAACATGAGGCTACCGACTGCTGATGTACGCAGACCGTTTCTCTCGAAACATTAACTCACCTCACGTAAGATTAGCTGCATGAACTCGTGAGACAACAGCTCAGGGTGCAGTAATAGATCCACACCCGAGCTACAGACAGCTTTTCCATCTTTTCCTGTGGAAGTCGCCATATTGAATGCTATTCTCTTCCCGGCATGCACCGCGGCATAACAACACGGTATGTCTTTTTACTCTTTTTTTCACCAACTTTATTGAGACAATTGTAGCTCAAGTTATACAACTTGAGTCTACAAAAAAAAAAAAAGTGGAAAAAAGGTTGTATTGAAAAAGATAAAAATAAAGTTGAATATATATTTTGGTTATACGTTTTACCATCTATTTTTGTTTGAAGGCTTCATTCAGAGGAAATGTAGGCCGTCGTTTGTCAAGAACAGTCTGTTCTAAAACATTTGGCTTTTCGATTAAGAATTTGGATTTGTGAATATGAATTCTTGTCAATTAAGTCAATGATAAGATAATTATGCAAGTAGAACTGCGACCTGAGATTCCTGTCATATTCCAAACAATACATTTTTCTAAAATAATAGAAAGTGAGGATGAATATCATCAGAATTAATTTGTGATAATTTACTCCAAAGTTGTTTTGTACGAACACAACATGCCATTTACTTATGATTCCTGCACGTTTGTATGCTTATTGAAAAACATAAAATTATCTATTTTTATGAAAGTGCTAATACTAATCATGAAGATACTCCAGTACAAGTAAAATCCCTGCACAAGTATTATCATCAAAATTCATTTAAAGTATCAAAAGTAGCCCAACTCATTGTGTGGTACAATGATACGTTTTGTATTCATATTACTGCTGGATTCATGTTCATGTTGCATTTTACTGCTGTCGATTTTTAAGGTTCTGCTAATGTTAATATTAACTTATTCATACTGTTAATAGTTAAATCTATAACAATGTATCATCGTTACTGTCCTGTGAGAACCACGTATCTTGTAGAAATCCATCCCTGTTTTCAGCTTTGTAATGATGCATTTTCCAGCTGATACATTTTAAATACTTTATTTAGCTTAAGAAGCAGGAGAATTGCAGCAGCAGTTGATTCAAAATCAACACATTGAAGATCCATGGTTTTCACTGGACAGGAAGGGGTTGAAAGACTGTGATCTGAAGTACAAAGCTGTCAGACAAATGTAGTAGAGGTTAAATAACAATATTTACCTCTGAGATGTAGTGGAGTAGAAGTATAAAGTAGCAGAAGTTGAATATATGCGAACATGTGTCATCCATTAGCCAATTAGACGAACAGTTTGCAAATAACAACTGATATAACTTATGACTAAATATGTTCTGTCTGAATGGTTTTGAAACGTATTATTTCTAATCAGGTTCATCTGTAACAATATAATATGGTGCACAAACTTATTTCACATGCTTCGAAATAAACAACCATCCATCGAGGGAATGCCTAAAAGAATACTTTAAAATATATGTAAACATAACAAAATTGATAATAAAGTATTTCTTTCAGTTCATGAATTCATTCCAACAAATGTGTAGTGTTTTGTTTGCATAGTGTAAATGTGATGTTGTTGAAATTTGATTACAGGTATATGCTTCATACATTACAACCTTTAATGTGATTTATTTTCAGGCTGACCTATACGCCTAAAATACCATTCAAGAATTGCCACACAAAATGAACACAAAAAAATATATAAGAAAATGTGACCCAGGGCAGAATTATCTTTTATCATCTGTCAGGTTGATGTTTTAAGTTTCTTTTACAACTTTAAATGAATGTAACTCATTTGTGGGATTGTAGACCAACATACAGAGTTTCCAAATTCATATGCAGGCTTTTTTTCAAACCATGTTCCTGAGCTTATACTGGTTGCGCCTGTTATAGGAAACTAGTGCAGCCTCGGACGAGTCTCAGCCTCAGATCAGAGCATAAAAAGTCCCTTCTCCTGACGTCTCTGCAGTTGAATGGTTTGTTGTAACTTAACTGATTAAATTAAGACAGTAATGTGAATTAGAAGCGACCATGTGATCTTAATTAAGAGGGAGAGTATGTTGGTTGTCATGTGTTGGCACATGGTTAAATGTATTTATGTGAGTAAGTATGTACTGTTAATGTGTGTGATGACAATACCTTCCTTGAGTCATGCGACTTTCAGGTATAAACCATTATTAAACAGCACCAGGTGCCATGGTTTTGATTCACCATTTTAAATATAGCTGATAAACTGATAATCACATGAGCAGTTTTGCTATATCAAAAAAGGAAGACCACATGTCTAAACCAGCCCAGCCTGTGAAAAGGTAGTTGCTGTTTGGTGACCTGGTGCCAGACCTGCAGGATCACTGCAAGCATCTCGAATTTCTTCAGCAATTCATGTAAGTGAATGAAGTGAAACAAAATGGCATTTCAGGCTGAGAGTTCAGCAGGAAATGGAGCTATCCATATTTGCAATGAATGAACAGCGCCATCTTCCTGTTTAATGCGGTACTTCATTACAACCGACAACCTGTATTCATATCAAAATGCCAAACATATTTAACACCACAGTGCATTCACTTCATTTGTTCACAGGTGTTCATTTGCGAAAACGATAGTTCAAATGTCTGTGCTAGCCTCTTTCTTCCAATGGTATTAGCTAAGCTGATAGAATTAAATACACAAATGTCTGTATGTAGAGATACTGTACATCCACTCAAAGTGAATAGATGTCTTTGGTATCCCAGCGACCATATTCATTGTAAAAGCGGATGTCTAGACTGTGTTTTTCATCCAAGCACTCAGCAAACTTTTTTACAAACTGAATTTGTTAACCTGGTTCCTTTATTTATGAAAAGATAATACATTCAAGTAACCATTCACAGCTCAATAACTGACACACTTCTTTGTTGACACACGCACAGTTTTAAATAACAGTTGCAACTCACACAAGGCCATGTTTCTGCACAAATGTCATTCAAATTATGATTTTCTTTTAAAGACATCAGTTGAAAGCTTATGGACTTCATTGAACACTAGTACTGTGCATGATTCTTTTTTGTCTACAGTCTGAAGAAACAGAATGCCATTAATGAATCACATCAGGGACTCATTTTGAAATGGAGAAGTAAATTGAAAATGGATGATATGAAATAATTTGGCAGTAAATCTCAGAAACCATAATGGCCACAAAGTTAAAAACAACTGCTTTATCTTGAGACTGAAAGCAGCAGACACAATAATCTCACCACCAGGTCTATTCAGTAGCTGTAATGGAGGTTTACGATCATATCACATGACCTTCCTCAATGGAGGGAGTTCTCCAGTTGTCTGAGAATCCTTCTCTTCTAATCCTTGCTTGCTTTAAAATTGAGATTGAAAGTTTCTTTTGTCAATATGTGTTTAAGGTGAGATTTGATTGCTTATCAAGAGGAAAAGTAAGAGTTAAAAACAGTCGACGTCAACACCTGCTTAATGGGCATCGACAAACTGGCCCTCCTTGTTTCACACAGCTGACTGAGTCTCGCTGCACACGTAGATGTTGCTGGGCCTCACTCTCCTGCGGCTCCGGCCCGGCACTCTGGGACACAGTCTGCAGCTCTTGGGAATGAACTCCTGACAGGCCTCCCTGAACTTCCTGATCCTCCAGCAGTAGATGACGGGGTTGAAGACCGTCTTCAGGTAGCTGAGCCACAGGGCTCCTATGCTGATTGGGTAGAAGACCGAGCTGTAGTAGAACTGCCGGCTGAACACGGCCAGCAAGCTGACCACTGTGTGCGGCAACCAGCACACAGAGAAGCCGACAAAGAGGATGAGAATGGTGGTGAAGGCTCGGGTCTTGAAGCTCATGTCCACCTTGATCTGAGGGGGCCGCTGCAGGCCGGTAAGTCTCATCTTGCTGACTTGGTTGAGCGCTGGCAGGCAGGAATGCTCGCTGGTGTGGTTGTGGATGCGCAGGGTGTTGCGGCGCACAGTGTTGAGGATGCACATGTAAGAGTACAGCATGACAGTGAACGGTACAAAGAATACCGCAACTGCCAACAGCACCGTGTACCCACGGTCTGCCAGAGAATCGCTGTAACCCAGCACACACTGCGGCGCCCAGGCACCCCCAATACCTGCTGCACCCGTCCTCCACCCGACTACAGACGGCAGAGACACACACAGGCTCAGCACCCATGAACCCGCAATCAACAGTTTAGCTCTGTGTGGGGTCAACTTGTCCTGCCGCTGCACAATGATGAGGAAACGGTCCACACTGATTATGAGGAGTATGGACACCCCCTCCAGGACGAACAGCCAGTACAGCATGATGGACGCTCGGCAGAAACCGCTTCCAAAGCTCCAGTCGGCAGTGGCCACGGTGACTGCAGTGAAGGGCATGCAGAGCAGGGAGAGCATAATGTCCGAAAAGGCCAACGTGGCGAGGAGGAGATTGATAGCAGAACGCATGGCAGGTTTCTGGTAAACAATCAGACACACGATGGCGTTGCCGAGGAAACCAATCGTAATCATGAAGATCATTATGGCGGCCAGGGTCACGCGCAGAGTGACTGATATGAGGGGATTAGCAGCTTCTGACGGGAGACTTTCCGCTGCTTCTTCTACCATGTCAGGCCCCATGAAGCCGCACTCCTCCTCCAGCAGGCTTTCGTTACAAAAAGCCATGGCAGCTATTTTTCAGGAGATGTCAGCCCAAAAGACGGTACATGTTTGATTATTGTTGTGGTACGCACGTTAAGTTGTCCTCCGGCAGTTGGTCTTCCATGGCAATATCTGAGAGAGAAAGAATATTGACATATGGCACTTAAAAATACTTTGTGAAACAGAAAACAAACAACCTATAGAGAAACAGTCAAATTGCATAAGAGTGTATGTTCCATGATTTTAATGGATGATGACGTGCTGTCTGTCACTTTAAATAAGCTGCTGGAAACACGATGAGTGTCTCATTAGATAATTGAGTTGCTCTGTCATCTATTACTCAGGGACAATTGTAAATTTGAAACAGTGAGAGGAGGAATGACGTCCCCATTATATAAGCCAGACACACCTCATTGAGCGATATAGTCGCAGACAGGACATACTTGTGCCGCTCGCTGGCTTGAATGAGGTTGATGATTAACAGCTGTACAGACTCACGTGGGCGCGTATACAAACATTCACACCACCGAGCCTCCGAGACAAACAGTACATGTAATTCTTCACACGTGAACAGAAATACACACATTATAGTACAAACCATGGCACAGCGTGTCTTCCTTCAACTGAGCAGAAGGCCATTCTTGGATGATGCTTCAGACTGTGATGCAATCTTGATAAATCAGAGAGGCATCCTCAGGACACGTCTGTTGCTATGGTTTTTCCACCTCCTGCTCCTGACGGCGGGACATTGTTAACAATGTGTTGAGGTCATCCTGGCGTTCAGGTCTCAGATGTGGTCCTCACAGGTGGACTGGCTCCTAAGTGCTGGGAGACAAGAAGATGAGTTCAGGGTCATTACCTCCCATGTTTAGTTCCTTGTGACCGCGTGTTAGAATCTAGATGTGATAGGCCTTAGTGCAGCAGACACCTCCAGCAGTCATAATAGTAGGTGGGAGTAATCATCGATGGCTTTGTTCTAAATGTCCCAGTGAGACATAACAGTGTGACAGTGAGCCAGCATGCACACTATCAGGATCATTGTTATGATCATCAACAAGCTTTTCATACTCTGACTTGTCAAAATATCTTCTGTGAAAAGGCCTGATTCAGTGATTGTACTGTCGTAATATACACAGAATATCTTTGTCACTGTAATATAACTTATAGTCAAAAATCTAAGTTTGAATTACCCTACAATAAGAGGACTAGTGTTACCTCAATATATGATGGTTCCCCCACCCAGGTGAGAGGAAACGGGCCCTCCAGTGACTGTAGCTACATTCTTGCACAAAAACATTATCAGCTACTGCATAGTGTTGCTGGTTGTTGCCAAGGCAACAAGGTCACCACTTCCATGGCAACAGGCAGCCTGTACTCTCATCCCCTATGACAAAATATCCTCTGTATCAGAGTTTTTGCAATTTAGGACTTTGTCAGGACTTCAAACTGCATTTTCTCTTGAAACACAGACGCCTCACTGTCAGACACTATATGGGTCACTATGCTATTGGTCCTTATCTTTTAGTATAATCAATAAAGCATCTATTGAATCAGATGTAGGAGATAAATCACCTTGTTAGAGAACAAAACAAAAATGAGAAGAAAAGGCATGTGGTAGCAAAGAAGAAACCCTGGGATCATGCAGCCTATATGTTACAATAAAACTATGGTAACTAGGCAATAGAATACCTTAACATTTTCCATTTTAACACCTTACTGCAAATTATATGAAGAAGACAATGAGCTGACTTGCCCTGTAGGGGGATCCGAGCTTCTTATTTCAACAGAAAAACAAGTGGATTTACTCAGCTGCTCTGCTCAGCTTTGAATCAATAGGTGGGACTGATGTGGCAATACAAACATGGATAAATATAATAGCCCATAACATTATGAATAAAAATAAAATAATTGAGTAAAGACTTCATTTTCATATAATTTGATGAGTAGCAGCATCCAGATGTAATGAATCTCAGAGGATTATGGTGGCATCAGCTCCTCGATGCAGATGTACAGTGTTTTATATGTGACGCCATAATCTAGTCCTCCCTGCATTGATAAACCACTGCTTACATCCTGTGACATTAACCGTTTTTACATAGCGCCCCCAATTAGCCTGCACTGTGTGTCCCCTCATATTTACATATGAGCCTGTTTCTCTCCATCACCTGTGTTTCTGTGTCAGTCACGCGCTGCTCAACCTGTCTGCATCACCACGAGCCAGTGCTAATCTCAAAATACATGATATACAGGCATCAAAGACAACATACATGGTTATTCCTTCTAAGCAATGCGGAGGGGATTAAAGCAAATACAACGATCCATTTCAAGCATTAAGCAGACATGAATAGGCCTACCTTGACCTTCCATTTGGTACCAGGTTGCATGAATGTCTCTCGTCGATCGCATTTCTCTCCCTGTGCATGCCGAGCCTTTCCCAAAATATCCCACTTTGAACATTTCACTGCCTGTATCGATCGCCATCGCGGCGACTGCGGACGATGCTGACGCTAGACACGCAGGTGGTCACTGATTTAAAGGAGCAGTGCGGAGATTACATTGATTTGGAAACTGGAATGTTTAAACAGGTGTGGCGTTTCCAGTATTTGTTTCCTATGCGACACGTGGGACATGTAGCAATATCGTTGTTGCTTATTAATGAATGCGTTACAATATCACGTTATACTCTTGATCTGGCAAAAATATCCGCACAGTAAAAAAAATTTGTTTTTACCCAACACAACAACAAAAATAATACAACACATCATACGATTGATATTATTCGAATAGGTTTAAAGATTGCACATTATAATTGTTTATATTGAAGATGCACATTGAAAAAACTGATAAATGTCACCAACAGCAATAAAATGGCAATATTACAGCATGTTTACTAAAACAATTGGGCAAACGAAAACCTCTCATCTCATACGCCTACTATGGAACCTTATACACATAATAATATTATTTACATGAGGCATTTTTCTCTATTCCTTAACCCATGCAAGTGATACAGTAGTACATACAAAAATAAACATATTTAAAGGAATATATGGATTTACAATATCCAACCTTTATTTAGCTCTCAATTCCAAGCTTATTAATATCCTTTCACCTATTTATATGATAATACATCCTAATGTGGGGTTGTCTGTCAATAATGCCAATCACAGACTCACTCTCACATCCACCAAACATCCAAGGTTAGATTATGGGTTTCTCTTCTTGTTTTACAGATTACTACACTAAATGAATCCAATGATCCTAAATTTAAAAAAGAATCTTGAAGATTATTTGATTGTTTTTGTGTTTTCTTCATTTGCCATTTGATCTGACTCCTCTTGCATTCAGAGACGGTAATCGATGTTTCTGTCCAGGAGATGGCAGCATTGGGCTTTACATGTATTTGGCCTTTACTTTTGGAAGCCTATTTCAGACATGTATGTGTTGGTATGTTAAGGTTTGTATAAGTATGGTTGTTTTTTTTAATTCAAACTTATTTAGAGTTGCAGCATCTCCTTTTAGAGCAACACAAGGCCATATACATTTGACAGTGAGAGCTTTAAACACTGGTATAATTCTTGTATTGTAAAGGGAGGTATATCACACATCATTGATAGAATGCTGTCTGAGTCCAGATGTGCAGAATATCATCTATAGACACATATTTCTAAATGTAGTTCACTTTAAAGAAGACAACTGTATTCTCACACACATACAGATACACACGGTTACATTCACACACTTAGCATGCAGGCGTTGATTATTTTCATGGGCATGCTTGTCTAAATTGGCATCGTGCCCATGAGTTGAACATGCCCATCAAACGAGTTCCACTCCACCGGTCTGGCACATGCATGCTCGTCACGTTCAGTGGCACCCACACAACAAGCTTGCTAGTGAGAGAATTCATTTCCCTGTCCATTATTCCGCAGATGTTTGCTTTAATTTCTTCCTGATGGAGAGACGTTGGTACTCCATCATTCACCAAAAAAGCAAAACGGGAAAAGTGAAAAATATTCACCACTAAATCAGAATATTTGGGGAGGAGAAAACCCCACATGTAAGAATGTGACGATTGAGTATTGTACACACAATTTGTGTGCTACACTTAGGACACTTCAATACATTCACACATAAAATTACAACCAACTAAAACACAATTTTTGGGTCCTTTATCAATGCTTGCCACAGCCTCTGACTCCAAGTAGGAGTCATATGTGTCATGAGCTTTGATTCACACTGAGGAAGCCACAGTGTGTTAATCAGTGTTAGACTTACATGGTTAACCAATCCCCACAATGGGAGAATAATTAACACCAAACAGTGGTGACTGATAATGTGCAACTCACTGGGAAATAGTTGTACATTACAATATTCTTTGATTATAGGTCCAGGTTCAAACAAAAAGCATGAAAGAAGGGATCATTATGCAATAATTGCTCTGGTGTAAAGTCCTGAACAAGGCTTTAAGAGCCATTATGAGCAATAATATTAGCATTTTTTTATTGGAGGAGGTGATTACATCCTTTTCTGCAAACATCAAAGCAGATGAGCTACAAGCAGTTCTAGCATGTTTTCCTTAAATTATTTTTATATTTCATGGTGTGGTGCTTGCTAGTAAAATACATATAAAACCTTAAAAAATCCCTGGTGAGATATTTACTGACGTATTCTGTATCGTAGAACAAATCTCTTAAACTCCTCGTGTTGACCAGAGGCCTCATTTCAGGCTTTGAGATGAGGGAACCGGAAGTGCAACAATGCTGACACATTTCTGGGTTTTCAGGACTCATTCCTGTAGCACTCTATATGCATGAGCACTGACTATACTTCTTGCTGTCATCACAAGCACAGATGCATGTGAGCCGAGCCATTTCTGTTTGATTGAGGGGTTTCGGCTTCAGTACCAGGTTACTGTAACATCATCAGCTTGTACCTTCAGATCCCAGCATTAATATTCAGAGAAGACATAGCGTCTTGTGATGACAAAACCCTTTAAAGGGTTTTTTATCCCTCAATTCCATCCTTATCTCCCATCTTTACATCGCTAAGCTTTGAGGGGATCACACTGCAATCCTGCGAGCTTAGATTTTGCCTCCATTTTTATCAGGGAACTCTGGCTTTTGCAGCTCTCGGCGGGAATAGATCATGTTAAGAGGCATCAGTAGATGGTTACAGTCAGCTGTGGAGACAACTTTTGTCCTCTGTGTGATATTGCTGTGGAAGCTGAGAGCATGTATACGTTCTTCTTTGCGTTGACATCAAGTCATGAACATGTAGACTGTGATTGTTTTTTTATGACAGAATACCATGTGTGTCTTTGAGTGTGTTCAAGTCGCTCGATGCTGACAAGCATAACAAGTCAGTAAAAAGTGTTTTTTAACATAATCATTGTCTGATGTGAGCATTATTTCTGAAGGTCAACTTGTCTGAAGCTGAGAAAAACAGCTACATTTTTGGTATGCATTTTATATTTCCCCAAATAAATGTGACAGGGTTTTATCGCAGCAGAATAAAAACATTTTATAATAAAACTTTTTGAAAAGCTGGTTCACTTGTGTCTAATGTGTCTGCGTTCTTTCAGCAGCATAAACTGGTGAAGTATCATCAGCATTTCTTCTTTACTACTCGTATCCCTTCAGCCGTTATGGGATTGAAATTTGACCTGGAGTGACGACGGCTGTGTGGGCTAAAGTGTAAAGACCCATTCAAACCACCCATTCATGCAGGCAGGCTGCTATTTATAACCCACAAGGCCAGAGTTTCCCCTAAATCCTGCCAATGTTCGATGAAGACACACACACACACCTTTTTTGATATATTTGTGTGCTTGTCTGCCTCTGTTTTTTAACAGTGTTATATAAGATTTATTGAGCATTAGCATTGTTAGGAGACATGTTGACACAAAAGGGACAGAAATCCTTAATCAAGAATGACTTGAAGTGAGACAGATTTAGCAAAAAAGTGTCAGTCGCACCTATGTTTTCAGCTCAAGCTTGTAGAAGATACACAGTAAAAAATACTCAAAGAACAATTAAAAGTCTGACATTTACAGTAAACCATTAACTTCCAGGTTTGTGTTTATTTCTCAGTGTTCTGTCTGGTTTGTACTGTACCAGCAGACCTTTGACCTCCCTCCAAGTTTCACCACAACCACTTTTTTTCCACGACTCCACCCATCGTTTTCTAAATCATCATTGAGATATTTGATTTAAGACATCAGCTCATGTGTGTGTTAATTCCTGTATGTATCATTGTGTGTCATGTTTGTGTGGATCAGCGACAGAGGGACGAAACATTGTTTCTCACAGCCAGCATCTTGAGTGTCTTGCTGCCTATCTGCCAAACCCATCATCTGTGGCAAAAGATCCGCTGCCTCGTGTCCCTCCATCTCGCTGTCACCTTGGCAACCGATGCCGAGGTGAATTGCCAGCTGGGATAGCCGACCTCTGTTGGCTGCGTTCCACAAAGCAGCAGTCCATAGCACTGCCACAGGACGTATGTGGCTGGGCTGACGTGCCGTATATCACACGGAAATGTGGAGGCAAACTCCAAGAAGAGACTTCTGTGATGAGCTGGATTTACGTCAACCGTTAATGAAGCTGCTGGGACTGCAACTAAGGACTGTTTTCATTATTGATGAATCTTAATCTTAATTTCTCGATTAAACATTTTGTCTGTAAACAAGAGTGAAAGAGTGAGAAATGCCTGTTATAATGTCCCACAGCATGAAAAGATGTGTTCCAATAGTTTGTTTTATTCGACTAACAGTTCAAAGACTTTAAGATATTCAATTTATTATTATAAATACAGAAAGAAAGTCATCATATCATCACATCTAAGAGGCTGGAACCAGGGAAGTTGCCATGTTTAAAAAAAAATAATTATCGCTTATCAAACTGTTCTGTCAATTGATTATTTCTCATCTTGATTAATCGACTATCATTGCAGCTTGAGAAGCTGCTTTTAACAAAAAAAGCCCAGGCAGAATAGCATTAAACTTCAAAAATGCATTTGGTTTCTTTGGTGCCTTTATAATTTCTTAACGTATGGAATAATGTCTCTAAATGGGCTTTGTTTCTCATAAAAGATCATTTAAGTTGCCATTTTGACCCTTAGAGCTATATTGGTATATTTGCAGCAGAGAACATCAATATAGTAATGTTAATATTTCACTGCAAAGGTGTGAGCTAAAAGGACACATGATGGTATGTGTGTGTGTGTGTGTGTGCGCGCGCACGAGTGTGTGAGTCAATAGGGACCTTAATAATGATGGTCCTCTCAGATAGCGTAACACAATTCTTTCCTTATGTCAAATTTATTAAATAATTAGTCTATTCCATGAAACTATACACAGTGGGGAAAAAATAAATAGTCCAAAGCATCATACAAGAATACACAGCAGACTAACTTGTACATAAACTTAAGGGAATGTTTGCTAATTTAATAAAATTACTTTTCAATGAAGGAAAACACAACACTGGTAAAATCTTAAACTGTGTCACAACATGAATCCACTGACACACACCACAAAAGTCAGAAACACGTTTCAAGGAATATAAATTATTGCTGTTTAAAAACAATGCTGAATAAAGCACATTAGACCATGTCTTTCATATAAAAGAAATGATGCAGTCCAGTCTAGCCCGTGGGACACCAAACTCTGCAGCAATACAAGGGAACTTTTATTTCTAACAGAGAGACGGAAATGTCTGGAAACAGATTGATAAAATTCTGCAGACTTTTTGGTGAACAAACTTTGCCTTTGATAGACTTTCAATTGTTTTCTACTCAGACTTTAGTTAAGCTTTTCATTTTCTGTGCCAAAAGCTGATTCATAGTGCAGAAAAATACCCGAGGATGCATAAAGGTAGACTTTTGTCCTGCTCTGAAGTGAATACACACTGGACAACATTATTATTGGGGATCAGTAAGAAAAGTTCATCAATTGTCCGAGCATTTAAGGAAACATCAAATATTTTCTCGAAAAGGGTATTCAAACACTTGTTCAGATTTAAAGTCCGGCCACATATGTTCACGTGTCGCTGTACATCCTCTTGCAGTCTATGGAGGGTGACGGTGTATCAGGACCCATGCTGCCCACCTGTGAATACGCGTCCTCCGGGGTGCGAGGCAGTCCTGGCGGTGTCATGCGCTTCTCTTTCTGCCTGCGGTTGCAGAACCAAACCCTGACAACCTCCTTCTCCAGCTCCAGAGTGTCCGCCAGAGAGGTGATCTCCTGCGCGCATGGTTTGGGACACTTGAGGAAGTGGCTTTCCAACGCGCCTTTTACGCTCACCTCGATGGACGTGCGCTTTTTCCTCTTCCTGCCCTGGGTGGCTATCTTGTCAATGCTGGTCGGGCTCCCGGTGGTGGAGTCGGCCTCCTCCAGCCATTTGTTCAATAGAGGCTTCAGCTTGCACATGTTCTTAAAGCTCAGCTGAAGCGCTTCAAACCTGCAGATGGTGGTCTGTGAGAACACGTTGCCGTACAAGGTGCCCAAAGCTAAGCCCACATCTGCCTGAGTGAAACCCAGCTTGATCCGCCGCTGTTTGAACTGTTTTGCAAAATGCTCCAAGTCATCAGACGTCGGAGTGTCCTCGTCTGAGTGCGCTTCGTGGTTCACCCCGTGATGCTGGTGATGGTGATTGTGGTGATTATGGTGGTGATGGTGATGATGGTGGTTTCCATTATCCAGCTCCGGGGACTCCCCGCGCACCAGCCCCTGGTGCATGAGGCTCTGTCCCACGTGCGAGCTCAGCATCCCGTTGACTGTAAACCCACCGGGCTGAGAGTAAATGAGAGACTGTTGTTGCTGCTGCTGCTGCTGCTGCTGCTGCTGCCCCTCGGTAATACTGATGTGCGCCGTGGAGGTGTCTCCCCAACTTCCCGGGTGCGCCTGATGGGGTCCCAGATGCGGGGACCTATGGTGCAGAGCGCTGCCTGTGTGGAGATCCTCCCTCCCTCTCTTCACGTCCTGCGGCTGGGAGCTGGGGGACCACGGAGAGCCGACCTCGGCTGCTGCCATTGCGGCCGCAGCTGCTGCGGCTGCCGCGTGAGGCAACGATGTTACCCACTGGTGGGCATGGCTTAGCATGTGGCCCCCATTGCTTGCCACCATGGCACCCTGCATGAAGTCACTTTGCACCATCTTTACTGCAGGATCCCCTCTGTATCCACTAGACACCGTGGTCACAGCGGTGCTGCCCGGCTGCATTCCACCAACCCTTCGATCAGAGTGAAGTACCGGGCCGGATAAAATCCTGCTGCTGGCTAGGTATGGACTTGATGTTGCTGTTGCCATCCCCCAAAGCATATATCTTCAGATTTTTCTCTCTTCTGGTGTTCTGCTAAAGTCCCAGTTCTAATCCATGAATAAATTCAGTCTATATATAAAACGAAAAGATAGTGGGAAATAACTCCGTAGAAACTCAAACGATAACTTTACCTCTATAGCAGGTTGTGCGCATTGAGACTTGTGTAATAAAACACTCTAGCATTCCAGTGCAACAAAAAATAGTCTTCAAAACTTTTCTCTGTCCCGGGAGCTCCGCCGTGCGTAATCCACAGACCTGGTGATATGGAACAACACCTTCTCTGATCCGTGCCAAGCTGAGGAGCTGCTCATTTATAACCCGTTAATCTGTTACTGACGTTTTAAAGCCATTTAGTGATGATGACAAAATCAACTTTAATAAAGCCTCTCCGGTCCTCTCGGTAGTTTCTCTCACTCCATCTGCTCTATCCGGCGCGTCCTCTGCGGTGCGAAGAAGACGAGCATGTGTTTACGTTGTGCCAAGGCTGCGTTTTCCTCACCCATCTCCATCCAATTACAGCAGAAAGGCTCTGCAGAGCTCCCGCTGATTGGACGCACAGTCAGAGAGGAGCTGGTGTGTCTCAGCTGAGCCTCGGGTGCACTCAGTTCTTGTTGCAGGAATAAAGCAACAATATGATAAAATAATATTACAGAAATGAAAAAAGACAGACACAGAATAATCTGGATGTGCCTTTAAGGACGCGCAATGAATCATCTAAAGAAACAGAATAAGAAATCCTGCAACGGAACAAAACGTCTTACAAAATGACAACAGTTAACAACGATTATTTTTATTATTATTATTATTAGTAGTAGTATACGTCTTTAACATATCTTGAGTTTATGCAGCCGATGAGGTTAGTGACACCAGACAAATAATACCGTATAGCCTACTATGGTTATCTATTTTATAATAACGCAGAACGACCGAGGCCTGTGTCAAGGATAAGTCGGCTTTGGGTACATAGGGGGTTTGTACGCTTTTTGCATCTTAATGCGCTCCTTTTCATATGGTAAAGGGAGGCCACAGTGGCGTGACGCGCCACACTGGTGAGCGCTGAAGGTGGACGCAATCTGCCAACAGTTTGCTTTTTCCACACAACCCGGTTCTGGTTGGATGTTTCCATGCCTGATCCGTTTATGGATGGCCTGTTAACTAAACATGTCGCGGGGAGTTTTCTACCACGACTTTGCCGTATAGTTTTAAGGGCCTTGAGAGAGTAAAGCGTCGACTGGACTGGATGACCAGTATAGAGTAGAGAGCCAGGTGCAGCCAATAAATGTGCTAATTTATGTTTTTCAGTTTTCAGCATTTGTCTTGGATCTCATCCAAAAGGTAAAAGATAAATGGTCACAAAAAATGCATTTTCACAACCTGCAACATAAATCGAGACTTTTATCATAACATTTGAATCCACTCACCATTATGTTCAGTTATCGTGTTCCAAATTACATTTAGATTTATCCTATTTTAGGAAGTTCGAAAAAAGTAAAACAAAGTAAAGTCGTAACATTTTGTTGCAATAGAAATATGCTTTATGCTAAAAGCATAATGTGTCTGTGTGTGTGTGTGTGTGTGTGTGTGTGTGTGTGTGTGTGTGTGTGTGTTATGTCCCGTAATATTATTACTAATTATATTTGCTCAATACAGAATCACTGAGTAATGCAGATACAGTTGACACATTTTTTAATTAATCATTTGGATTGTTTTGTTAAACTATTTAATTTGGGTGTGGGCAGGATGGCATTTAGGGGTTAATGTGACACACTCATTTACAGGACTCAGCACAACCATCACAGTCTGCATGACACAATAAATTACACAACAAAATATATGTTGCATTTACAGCAAATAATCAGATTTATGTGTTGGACTTTAGCTGCTTTAAATCAATTAATCCTTATGTTAATAACTTGAAGAATACAACCAAAGTAAGTACTACCCTGAGCCTTCCACTTAGCACTTATTGTATTTGTATTAGTTTGTTGCACTTATTGTATTCGTTTGTTTCTGCACTGTGTACTTTAGCTCTGGTTTATGCTCTTAGATGCTTGTTTAAAAAAGGAGATGCACTTATGACTTCTGGTGACTAGTAGTTCTCTTGAATACCTATGTTGAATACACTTATTGTAAGTCGCTTTGGATAAAAGCATCTGCTAAATGACTAATAATGTAATGTAGGTACAACTTTCTTATAGATTTATAAAGACATTTATAGAGTTCAAAAGTATATATATATATATATATATATATATATATATATATACACACACACACACACACACATTTTATTGTGTTTTTTTAAGACTTCATCATAAATAATTAAATGAATGGGTATATAGAGATATACATAACAAATTAAAAAAGTGCATCAGCATTAAGTTTGTCCACCAATCTGTATCATACCAGAACAGATAATATATCACCAGATATGGTCATGTTTGTTACGAAAGTCGTTTGATTTTGCTGTGTTGAGTGAGCCCATTGATCGTAAGTCACAGATAACTTGTGTCATTGTCAATATTTCAAAACATGCAGTTTTAACAATGGCTTTTAACTGGCATGTAAGGCATCAGTAAATCATTTATCAAAAAATATTAAGAACATTAGTTAAAATGTACAACATGCAAAAGGATTTAAACTGATCTTTAAAGCATTGGTATGTGATTTATTGACCATTAATAAAGCTGTTCACAACTTATAAACAGAAAAATATAAGTCATTATTTTTTTCCACGATCTCTAAAACCTGTTTATTGTTACTCTGTATTCAGTAAAACGCAGCAAACACAGAGAAGCTGCACAAAAGCACCACGGGGTTTCACATCTTTCCAGCATACCAGCACAATGTAGAGAAAACCAGACTACTCAGGGAATGCACTAATGTTTTTCATGTGTTGTGCTGGCTGGTCACTTCACTGGGTCCTCTATTTGTTATTCATGAAGGAAGCTGGGTGAAGAGGCCTTCTTCTGATGCACATTTTTCTCTCTCTCTCTCTCTCTCTCTCTCTCTCTCTCCCTCTTTCTCTCTCCCGCTATCCATGAAACTGCTTCAAAACTAAGCAAATAATCTGTTTTGGATGTAGTGAATCCAGCATAATGAGTATGACACCATCAGTTAATTCATATTATTGTTTATTTTAGATATTCTTCAAATCTATTAGAGGCTTTCTCTCTCTCTCCCTCTCTTTCTCTCTCTCTCTCTCTCTTTCTCTCCCTCTCTCCCTCTCTTTCTCTCCCTCTCTCCCTCTCTTTCTCTCTCTCTCCCTCTCTTTCTCTCCCTCTCTCCCGCTCTTCGCCCTCTGTTGAGTCTTCAATATGCAGATCGGCCATTTCTGCCCCTGGGCTATTTTCTTTGGTAGACTTTTGAAATATGCAAATACCTCCAACAAAAATTGCGAAGGAGAAAAAGGAAAATCCTTCATCTGGGCTCCAGGAGTTTTCCATTGAAAGAAACAGATGCTTTTCTCTTGTTCGCGCTCATGTTCCTCCTCTGTTGGCTGTGTTGGTCAAGGGCCTATCTAATTAAGAAGAGAGAGAGAGCAACACAAATCAGGCAGACTAATCAGAAAATAAGTTGTGAGGATGACAGTGTTGTTGTTATCTGCACAATTATTACATTTATGACTAGTCTTTGCAAAGACAAGATTTCACTCTGTCTTTAGGTATCTTGCTTTCTTTTCATCGAATCATTGTAGGTGTGTATGTTGTAGAAGTTATAAGACCAGGTGAATCGTCTCTCTCAGCTCCTCCACTGTGAGCTGTGCAACGTGGTGTTTACAGAATACTGAACTGCACTGAAAACACTGCTGAGATAACAGAACTTATCTCCGTAGCTTTCATCCCTGCTCTCTTTATATTCCACCTCTTCAGTGTCATCCTGTGGTTCTGATCATGAGTGTGTTTGACCTTCAGCTCTCCCTGAGTCAGAGAGATTCTTCACAGTGGGAGTCTCTACCCACAACCCCCTGTTGCGCGGTTAAATCAGAAGCAGAGGCAGCCACGGAGAGGAGACAAGGGGAGACAAAGTGCGGTAGTCGGGGTACAGGGAGAGTGGGAAACAGAGGATATGAGGGGAGATGATCAAAGTCATTTCCAAAATCCTCATACACAGAGAGAGAAATATGAGACAAACATGACAGAAAATATTCAAATGTGTCTTCAGTCAATAACTGACCTTTTTTTTTTAAACGGTGCTTCATGTGGTGGAACTGCTCTGGGTGGAATTACTCATAGCAGAGGGAGAGTAAAATGAAAGGAAAATAAGGAGCTGTGTTTACCACACTGGAGCAATCGGCAATTACCAGCCCCTGCTGCGACTTAAATGACGACACCCAATGGACAGATGCACTGGTTAAACACCGTTGTGGTTTTGCCCATTATGTATGAATAGGGGGAATTAATTTGTGAGAATTACATTAATTAATCCCAATGGATCATTTGAAAGTGACAGCAACAGCACAGAGTGAATACAGTCGGGAAATGGCACAAACACTCACTCATCTCTCTTTTTCTGTGTTCATTTGTGTGTTTTTGGTGTGTGTGTGTGTGTGTGTGTGTGTGTGTGTACGCAGGTGCTTGCAGGTGTGTGCAGGGCCTGAAATGTACCCCTTTCTAAGTGTCTATAGGCATTAACATAATGGTGTTCTGAACGATGGCTCGTGACAAGCGGACGTCTTTGCTGAATATTTATGCTAAGCTAAAGCAAAATGCACAGAGAGAAGAGAAACATCTGGGCCGTCATAGAAGAAAAACAGAGGAAATTGAGAAAAGATGAGACTCATGGGGTTTAGGGCATTTAGATAAAGTCACGGCCTATTTGAAAAATATAGCGCTCGTATGGCTGCTGCAAAAAGAAGACATGGAAGTTGGGTTAAAGGAAAGGAAGCTATGAGTTTTTAATTTCCTCTTTGCGTTTACCAAAGCTCATGAACTGAAATAGAACTCCAAATGTGTCTATACCTTTGTGGTTGTGTTTGTATCTGCCCACTGTGGCATCTAATGAGCTTGTGACCATGTTCTCTCTCTAAAGTTCCCTCGCCGTCTTTCGAATACGACTGCAAACAGTATGACAGAGAAATTTAGTCAGGAAATACCTTCAGCTCTGCAGCCTGTGGCTACGGACAACTGTAGCCCTGTACCCAGGCCCAGTCTTGAGCCAAGTCAAACAGCGGGTGTCCCTGAAGGGCTGGTCTGGCTGAGTCTGGCTGGCCCTGCGCCTTTCATGAATGGACAGATTTCTCTCTGAAGCTCCCACCGAGCTCCACGTGGTTATAAAGGCTCTCTGTAGTAAAGATGATTTCTCAGGTGGGATTGGGGGGAAAGAAGGAAATATCAGATGGTGAAATATTAAGTGATTTCTGATACAAGTGACAGAATGGTTTG